TATATATATATATATATATATATTCCTATGTGTGTGTCTGTGTGCGCAGATGAATCTAACTCTACAAAAACTGTTACCTGTATCTTCTGATTACATTCAATCAAAGTTTCCAATCAATTATTCACTATTCTTTTATCACCTCGGCTCGACTGATTCGTTTATTTAGATTGAATTAACCGAGTTCTAATCGTCGCCACACCCTTTACTTCACGCTCTTTTCAGAGTCATTCTCACGTTTTTTTTTTCTACGAATCAGTCTGGCTTCAAAAGCATGAACATTTGCGTCAGGAGAGATTGAAATAAAACCAACGTATTTTGTTTTGACGAGAAAACTTCACAAAACTAAAGTTTCTTTGTGGCATGCAGATGTTTCTCGAAATCAGGAAATGACAGGGTGTTGTGAATAATTTTGATCGCTTATTCGGACGCGCGTGTATGTATAAGGTGTCTATTCAAAACACCTTATACACACACACACACGCGTGTGCGCATACATACGCATAATTATATATAAAAACTTACTGGGAACAATGCACCTATAGATACGAAAACTTGTATTGCGTAGTTACACAAAACTAGAAAGTGGCGTAAGACAAGGGTGTGTCGTCTCTCCAGACTTTTCTCCTTGTGGTAAGATCTTCTCAGGATTTATTATCGTTGGGTGTAATTTTAATATAAGATACACAAATGAGATTTGTTGATGGCAGGCACATAATCAGAACTACATGAGGTTTTTATGGGGCGTGGAACCATCTCTTAATTATTGGCGTTACCGGGTCCGCCCTACGTCCTGAGTGGACACTGCTCTCAATATCAGATCGTTTGTACAGAGTGCGGAAGTTGAAGTTCGATAATCGACCAATACGGCGTGAAATTAAATTATATATATATATATATATATATATATATATATATATATGTGTGTGTGTGTGTGTGTGTGTGTGTGTGTGTGTGTGTTGTTGATGCTGTTGTTGTTGGTAGGGGTCAGAAATAAAGACACAAGAGAGGAATTGAGTAATACAAACATATACAAATGAGAGTATTACAGCAAGAATGTTCAGTCCGATTGTCAGAGATTACTGCTGGAAACTTCCCTTTCCAAAAGGCAGTACCTGCTCCTAAATATAGCTGGGAGAATCTATGCGTGCGTGGGTAAATTACCATAACAATACATATATATATATATATATATATATATATTTATATATATATAAATTTATACAATACAATAAAAATATTTCCACACTTCATAGTACTTGACGTAATTTTCAGTTGACAATATGAATACAATAGGGTTTTCTAAATTTTTCTAGTTGCTAAGGACGTTCTATTGTTAATAGTTACTATGTTTTAATAAATTCATTTCGTTTTTACCTTTAAAAAGTCTATATTGGACGAAACGCGTCGGCTAACAATACAGTTTTCCTATAGTCTTATACATTTTATATATATATATATATATATATATATATATATATATATATATATATATATATATATATAAATGTATATCAACGTAAATTTATATATATAATTTACGTTTAGTTTCATACAGAATATCAACTTTCTTGGTAGATGTTTTTATCATCACAATGTGGACAATTTGATAAGAAAAGGGATGAAAACATAAATAACCACAAAAAAAATGAAATGAAACTGAGAAAACTATATACCCAAATATATATTTTAAAAAATCAATAAATAAAAACCATATCAACGTCTGTTCTCCTTCCTGCGCATATGTAATCAAATCAACGTGAACATTACTTTAGTTGGATGATGTCCTAATGTAAGAAACGCGTCATAAGAAAAGTGTTATTCGCCACCATTTTTTCATAAATTTCCCTACCCTTTTCCTTTATATATATATATATATATATATATATATATATATATATATATATACAATTTAATATATTTTTGAGAAACGCCTACAATTTTTTATGGCTCCGAATTCTCTGTGAACCACCGTTGGTCCACCTGGACCATGTTGATAATCCATGGTGTAGACATATAGTAAATCTCATTTACTATATGTTTTTACCTCCAGAGATTAAACATGGTTTTGTCGAAAGAAGAAAGAACTGACTTATTTTCTAGGTATTTTAAAGGAAAAGGTGTAATCAATGAAAATCACACATGCAACACACTTGATTGAAAGCATAAAGAGTGAATGTTCTAAAACTGACGGCAATGTGCAGTTATTGCATCGAGTTCATGTGCATTTTGCAAAGTGCATCAAACTTTGCATCACAAATGATGGAAATCATATTGAAGGTCTTAGTTTTTTTTTTAATATTATATATATAATATATATATATATATATATATATATATATATATATATATATATATACACAATTTTGAATAATTTTATAGATCAACAAAAATATGACAAACTGGAAAAGCACCACAAGAAATTTTTCCAGTTTGTCATTATTTTTCTAAATATACATACATTCATATATGATATGTCCTGAAAAGAGATATATTTGATCGAACTAGCTAAGTGGTTTTGGCTACTGTAACCAAGTAGTACACGGTAGCAGTAATCAACTGGTACTCGTCGTAGTCGCAGGTAATAGGTGTAGACCAATAGGATAGCCAATGGCGTAGTCCAATGAGCGTCGTCATAGACTTAAACTCTGTCGTACCTACACGTCCGTCTGTATTTATGACGGACACCAGCCAATCATATTCCAGTGAGGGGTTCTCAGGTGTATGCATATTCCATTATATCAATATATCAATACATATATATATATATATATATATATATATATATATATATATATATATATATATATATATGGGGGGGTGCGCGCATGCGTGCCCGCAACAATATAGATAGCAACAACCGGGAATCCGTTTATAGTCATTGATCTCTAACCGTTAGACAATTATAATGATATATAGTTAGATGTGCGTGCGTTTGTGTGTGTATGTGTGTTTGTGTGTCAGAGAGAGAAAGCGGATTTACTGTGTTATTATCATAGAACGGCCGCTTTAAATTAGCGCAATAATACTCCTTTGTTGCAAAGTCAATCTGATATCCGAGGGTTCAATATCATTCATGGGTAAAATGATAGACTCTTTACCGGCCTTTGTGTTTCGATCTCTCAGCCAGAAACTTAATAAATGAACAGAAATGAATTGCCATACACCTATTTATTTATCGTCCCCAGCTGTGTACTAATGATGTTGAGATCAATGTATCTTGTTAATAATACGTAAAGAATGTCGAAGAGGTGATAAAAACACCTACAGCAAATCTAGTTACCTCCCCTTCTTTTACGACTTTCACACCCCTTTGCTTATTTCGGAGTTTTTATATCCAGTCAATAACTTTAGCTAAATTGAAATTGGTCTCAGTTGTTTCAGAAAGCATGCAATGATACATATCGCCGATCTTTAATGAAATATTTTGTACCAAGTCAAATTAATTCAAATGCTTTCTGATTTTTTATAACGATGTGTACATAAATAAAATATAAACAATTAGCTTATATTATTCATTATACAAAAAAGTTTTCAACAATACTATTTCCGTATTTGTATATTGTTTTAACCAAGTAAACGGTTAAGAAATAACAAAACAAGAGGTTGCAGATAAATCGTGTATTGAACAATAAATACAACAGAAGTGTGTTACACGACTTGGGAGTGTGTGTCAGTTGACCAGCGTTCAATCTATACTACTGTTAATACTTACCCACCCCCACGAAGGACGTATGTGGCACAAGGCCGAGATTACCGTGGATTCTCCGAGCCCGTAGGAACGGCGAAAAATATTCCCTTAGAACCCGTATAAAAAGGTTCAGGGTCTGTTTACCTGCCCGGACGAAAGTTTGCCCTTCGACAAAACCTTGTCCGGGTTCCTCTCTGCTCAAGGCAGACACTTCGATAGGATGTAAAATCTATACTACTGTTCCCCCGAGGCTTACTTTCCTACTAATTTTATAGTAAGTGGAAGAGTCCACAATAGATTTATTAGAGGGAGAACTCCACAACATATATAAATGCCTTTCTATAAATCGTTTGCAAGAATAAACCTTCTTATACCAGATGAAATCCTATTTGAATTTAAATGACTATATTCTTAAAAGTTGCTCAACAATAAAGTATTGCACAATATCATTTTTTTTAAAGCATTTTGCTTCTATAAGATGTTTCTTGGAATAAAACGCCTTATTCAATATAATATTCTATATTTATTTAAATGTCTTCCTCTTTTATAAATGGTTTCTTGGAATAAAGCGCTTTATTCAATATGAACTTCTATATTTATTTAAATGCTTTTCTTTATCGATGAAAATATCTTCGAAATAAAATGGCTTACCATACACGACCTTTCATTTCTTCTTTTCTTTTTCCATAAAAGAATAAATTTCGTAACACATATAATCTTTTATTTGTATTTAAACGACTTCCTTTTTTCCCATAAATGGATTGGTTTGTTTTTTTGGCATATCAACACCTCAATGGGTCATTTAATGCTGACAACATTTTTTTTTTTTTTTTGCTTGGTAATATTTTTGTTTTGTCAAAAAGACGTATAGCTGGTAATATTATTTTTTCAAAAACGTATAGCCGGCAACACTATTCTTTAAAAAAAAAGACGTATAGCTGGTAATATATCATGATATCAAATAGATTTTCTTATGGAATGAAGGAAAAAAAGATAAAAGACGGAAGATTGTGGTGCGGCAATACTCTATGAAGAAAATATCTATTTTTCTTGAAAGTCAGATATTTACTCAGCTTGGCGCAGTATGGCACGAGACCAAATGTGAAAATTGATTGCTGTCGTAATAGGATATTCGTGTTAGGCCAAATGTATTGGGCCTTCCTTACTTGAAAATCAGGCTTGCTACTTGAACACAGGCCCCTAGCAGCAATGAAATATATATACTTCAATGGAGGAAGAACAGAAGATAGATATTTAGCAACACCAATAGCAAAGAATAAAATAAATAAATTAAAAAATATTCGGTACTCACCCAATAACAACCTCGCTGTAGAACTAAGGGAGACAACCCAAGCTGTGTCTACTGCACTCCTCTCGAATTCTTCGACTAATTTTAGGTAAATAACTCCATTTGATCGTTCTAGTCCACCTGGAATAAAAGCGTATAAAAAGAAAGTTAAACCTTTCATGTATATTTAAGACAGACATTTAAAAGACAATTTATAACACCGTAACCGTTGAGTTTTTTAGAGAATAAATATGCTTATTTTTTATGGAGATCTTTATTAGTTTCGCCTGCAACATAAATTGTAGGGGTCGCCATTAATTTATAACGGAAATTTCGCTTATTCTCGACTCTCAATAATAAGTATGGAGAGTTCATACTATGACAAGCTTAATTTTTTATACAAGTGTGAATTTTATCGATGTTCTGAGCCCTACTACGATCTACAAACCTTTCTAAAAAACCTTAACAAACCTTTCCAAGCATAGTTAACACCGTTAAAATAAAACTAGACTCAGCTCATGGTAATCCTTCGGATAAGCGGTGTAAAATAATCTGCTTTACATAAACGGCGTAAAATGAACTTTTTACTGTTTTATTACTGTTCCTTCTATAAAAACTTGGTTTAATGTGTTTTTACTCTACTTGTAAAATAGTTCTTTTATGCTTACATTTATCTAAACCCCACAACAAGATAGAACAAGTTGCCCTGGTTAACATAACACATAGTGTAACGAACTTTCTGATGGTGTGTGAGTAAGTGCTGAAATCGAGGCTGGGATCGGCCATATTATGAGTGATAGATTAACAGTTTACGAATACTATATCTTTCTCTTTGGAATAGCGAAAGATGCATTTCAAAAGTTAAGCAATACACTAAGAAACAGGAAAATTCCATTAGTAACATGGAAAAGGGTACTGAAATATTATGTAATATCGATCACCCAATATGACATTGAAAATTAAAACAATCATTTTCACATATGAAGGGACAGAGGCAGCAGGAATGTTATGATACAGAAGGATGCTGAGAATTCCGTGGAGTGTACCTGGAGGCAACGACGGAGTTTTAGGGAAAATAGAAACAAAGAGGACATTTTGAATCAACAATAGCAGGTAAAATGCCTCGAGCACATAGCGTTTTCCAATAAATAACGCGCATATTTAATATATAAATAAAATATATGAGAATTGCATATATATATATATATATATATATATATATATATATATATATATATATATTATTTCCAGTAGGAATTGGCATCTATTATTATAAATACAGGTTTCTTTATTCCAATTTAAAGCTACGGAAAAGAAAAAGTTATCGGCCTAAAATCGTTTCATCCTGTGTTTTTTTTCTTCGAATATATCGATTACTGATCACTAAGAAAATCAAAAAAGAATTGCTTAATCCAGACAGTTTCAAATTGTATCCATATATGTCTCTTAGTCGTTTGTATAGTAAAAATTGTTACATGGAGGCGGTACTTGCAAGTATATAGCAATTTACGCAAGATCGTTGAAACTGATTGGTATTTCCCAACCTGACAATATTCAGGAAGAAATCCATCAAAAATGATTCAGAATTCGATCAGTTTTATTAGAAAAATATCATTAGTGTCATGGGTCCTTACCTATAACTACAGAATGAACTCTTCCTAACACTATGTATACTACGCCTATCAAGAGAGAGGGTCGAATCGAGTCGAGCCGATAGTAGTTCACTCCAAACCGGACTGACAGTCATACTAACACCTTCCACATCTTGTATCATTATTTCGTGTAATATACCTTCGTTATTTCTACTCTTGTGTTCGTGTTGTTCTTCCTTGGTCCTAACCAGGACCATAACAATTATTATCTGTCCATATTTCGGAAATGAGGTATTATGTAAACTGTTTACATTATTCGGACTATTGTCCTCATCTTTGTCGCCATATTTATCACAACGCTCCGCTCCTACAGTATCTGTCTATATTTCTGAAATGAGGTATTATGTACATTGTTTACTTTATTCCGACTAACTAACGCTCTTATCCATGAGGTATTATGTACATTATTTTTATTGTTCGGACTATCGTCTTCATCTTTGTTGCCATATTTATCACAATGTTTGGCCCGTTGTATGCTCCGGTCTTCTTCAAAGACACATGGCACAGTGAATAAAGGCGTTATTTAGATCCAGTGACAGAACCCAACGAGTGTGAGTTCAATACCTGGTGAAGGCGGTGGAGAACTTGGAAAAGGGAATTAACAGGAAATAATTGATAACTGACATCCATTAGACATGGCACGTGGAACTAGAACAGTCTACCCCAGTGAGCGAAATAAAAGGTTCAGTTCAACATTCCAACCACCTGAAGAAGGCCGGAGCGTACAACGGCCGAAACGTTGTGGTAAATATGGCAACAAAGATGAGGACAATAGTCCGAATAATGTAAATAGTGAAAATATCATTAACATCAAATCCTTTTGCTTTCCTTCTAGTTAACTGGCTTAGTCTCGTCTGGCACAACACTATAAAAGATGACCAAGAGAAACTACCTACACTGCCAACTAATATGACAGTCACAATTCAGCATTTTCGTCTTTCCAGTCAGGATTCATTAAATTCTAGAATGAAATGGTTGAAATGGCCAGATGTAAGCGCAACTTCTGTGCTAACAATTTTTTTTTCTCACGCATTTGTGGAACTTTCTTTCAGCCTTTTGCTTTCCAGTCAACTTTGATCTTCAAAAATGTAAACGCTATGTCAATCGTTATCTTTGTCGTCTTCATTTTTTTTTCTTTTATTATTCAATCTTTTTAACAATGTTATTTTTTATTTTTATTTTTCTCATATTTTTACACTCACTTAAACCTTGCGTCTTAACGGCTTTATTGCCTTGCTTGGTGGTGATATGATTAAAAAAAAAAGGAATAATAAAAGTAACGTTACATTATCTGAAAAAAATATGTTACCATGCTGCACAAACTAAGTTCATAGTTTGAACCGCGTCTTTTCATCCCAAGCATTGATATAATTCAGCCATATTGACGGTGGAAAGTTTTACAAAACCCACAAATATATGATTTCCCATATTCGCTGAATGATTTTTTTGAAGACGCCAGTTCATATGTTCTGGGGATTATAGATATGTGTTTATTGATTAGACGGTCAATGTTCATAGAGATCGATTGTAGAAAACCTTACCAATTGATGTGCTTATAAGAGATCCAGTAGGTAAAAGGTTTAAACTCGAAATCAAACTTTATCATTTCATTTAGGTCAAAACTACAATATGAATACGTGCATTATTGAATTTTGTAGATATCGGTGACGTTTGGAGAACAAGGATTTATTAATAACAACAATGCACTTGAACAACGAATATAGTTGCATAAAAAATATATGTTAAAAATATGTTAATATATATATGTTAAAAAATATGTTAATATATATATGTTAAAAATATGTTAATATATATATGTTAAAAATATGTTAATATATATATGTTAAAAATATGTTAATATATATATGTTAAAAATATGTTAATATATATATGTTAAAAAATAAAAATAAAACAGTGAAATGCATCAACTTTTGTTTTTTCAAATATATAATGCATAAATTAATCCCAAATTAAAATAAGTTAAATATTAATTGCATAAAATAAACAAATAAAAACTCAGCACACCATTTACTTATTTTCCTTTATTAAACATTAAATTATATCACTTAGCGTCCTCCATAGTTTACCTACACTTTTCTGTTAACCTGATGAATATCTATGAGCGGTTCTTAAATTTAAGTATAGTTGCTTTAATTTCGGGAGAAAATACAGACAAAAATTGTCCAACATATATCATTAAATATAACAATGAATGTTTATTATGTTTGATTATGAGCCGTTCTAAATTTCGTATAGTTGCATTAATTTCGGGAGAAAATAAAGAAAAAAATTATCCAACATTTGGATATTCTTCCTTGATTATGAATATCTTTCTTTAAATGTCCATATAACAACTGCGAAGATGGTTCATTTGAGGCAAATGCTTAGATCAAGGAACAGCATAATAAAAATATCTAAGTGTTGGACTGTCTTTATTTTCTCCAGAAATTAAAGCAAGTATACGATTTTTAGAACGGCTCATCATCAAACATTCGTTGTCTTTTATATTTAACAATCTATGTTTCAATAATGATCTGCCGCTGCAAAACGCTAAATATAAATATATATATATATATATATATATATATATATATATATAATTTATTTTACGATATTACACCGAAAATATGTAAAATCGCTACACAATTGCAGTCGTGTTACAATGCATATCAATACAACAGGCAGTTGAAAATTGATGGCGAGTGGACAATTATTTTCGATTTACGAAAATGTGGGGGGGTATCAGATATGTGGGCTTTACTCTGATCAACCAATCAAATATGACCTACGTTATTATATATATATATATATATATATATATATATATATATATATATATATATAATAAAAAGTCTTAAACACTAATATTTCCTTATTACATTGGAATCGAAATTACGATCCAATTCATCAGATCTACAAATTCAAAAAGGAATCGGAAAAAAAAACTCCGGGAAGCAAAAAAAAAAAAAAAAATAGTGAGAATGTATGTATAAGAGTGGGGGACGAATGTGAGAAGTAAATGAAAGTTCTAGAGAGGGGGGTAACAGACGAAAGAAGAACGCAGGAGTGTATATGTATGGAGATATATATATATATATATATATATATATATATATATATAAATGTGTGTGTGTGTACACGCGTATATGTATGTATGTGCGTGTAAATATAAATATGTTGTTGTGTATGTGTGTATATACATATGTGTCTTGGGGCATAGAAATAGTAGGTCCGTTTTACTTTTTATTCCCGTAGTTATATTTTCTGATTTTTTTTTTAAATTTGTAGGTCCGATGAATGGGATCGTAATTACGATTCCAATGTAATAAATTATAACCAGGGAATATTAGGGTTTAAGCCTTTTTATTATACTATTGCTCTGTCATGATCATTGAGTTCTACCTGGATTATATCCTCTTGGAAATTACACATATATATTATATATATATATATATATATATATATATATATATATATATATGTCTGTCTGTGTGTGTGTGTGTGTGTGTGTGTGTGTGTGTGTACGTATATATATATATATATATATATATATATATATATATATATATATATATATATATATAGTGTAACCCGGATATAAGAGACCCGGATATAAGAGAAACTCGGATATAAGAGAGATTTTCTCTGGTCCCAAATTAGAGCCTGTGTTAATGCATATAAAATAGACCAAACCCGGATATAAGAGAAACCCGGATATAAGAGACTTCGCCAGTCCCGACAACTCTCTTATATCCGGGTTACACTGTATATATATATATATATATATATATATATATATATATAAACCTAAAGAGCCAGGTAAACTTACCTAGATTCACCTAAACGGATCGTCAGGGTACATCTGGCCAGTAGTACCCTGATGATCCGTTTAGGTGAAACATAGGTAGGTTTGCCTGGCTCTTTAGGTTTATCTTAGGTTTGCTCTACTTAGTGTATTGACTACTTTACCTAGATACTTTATTCGTTTTGGAGTTTTTTTTTTTCTTTTTTTTTTCTTTTTTTGACTCTGAGCTTGAATCCTGGACGATTGTTTTCGCCTCAATTTCATGTTCTTACTTCTTTCTTTTTTATTCCTCATTTTTTCCTTGGGTATTGGTTTGTTCAACTACAAGCCGAAATACTTAAGGTTTTTTCAAGCGAGTATCACTATATATATTTACTAAGCTTTTACTAAGCTTACAGCCATATCATGTTGAAACACCGGTTCTCGTCGGATCACCGAAGTTAATCAACGTTTGAGCCTGGTCAGTACCTAGAAGCATGACCGCTTGGAAATATCAGGGGCTGTAATCTTTTATGTGCTGATGGTGTAATGGATAACAACTCGGAATTGGAAATCCAAAAACCGAGTTTCAATTCCAATCGGGTTCGTTATATACGCGAAATCCCCTGGCGAAAAGATATGAAACGGCCCTTCCTCCCGTCCCCAGCTATGCGTTAACTAATAGGAATTATATCATTTAATTATTATTATTTCCAATAAAATTCTTACCATATAAATATATCTTCTGGTTTGGTTTGCTTTATTTTGTTTTACGGCATATCAACACCTCAATGGGTTATTTAATGTCGACAAAATTTTTATTTCTGCTAATATGTTTGGTCAAAAATGTATGGCGCGTAGTAATTTTTTCTTCAAAAATTTATTGCTGGTTTGATTTGCTTTGTTTTTCGGCATATCAACCTCAATGGGTTATTTAATGCCGACCTGATTTTTATTGCTGCTTATATTTTTTTTTATCTATCTATCTATCTATCTATCTATCTATCTATCTATCTATCTATCTATCTATCTAAGTACATATTGGTTTGGTTTGTTTTGTTTTACGGCATATCAACATGTCAATGGGTTATTTAATGCCGACAAGATTTTTATGGCTGGTTTGGTTTGGTTTGCTTTGTTTTACGACATATCATAATCTCAATGGGTTATTTAATGCCGACCTGATTTTTATTGCTGCTTATATTTTTTTATCTATCTATCTATCTATCTATCTATCTATCTATCTATCTATCTATCTAAGTATATATTGGTTTGGTTTGGTTTGTTTTACGGCATATCAGCCTCAATGGGTTATTTAATGTCGTCAAAATTTTTATTGCTGGTAATATTTTTTTTCAAAAATGTATTGCTGGTAATAATTCTTTCATCAGAAATTCATTGCTGGTAATAAAGTCTATTTTTTACATTTTCATAGTGTTTTGACCCCAGTTTTGGAGTTAACTATTTGCCCATAGCTGGGACCCTAACAGGTTCTACCATCTTGGGTCAGGGTGAACATGGGAACACCGACAATTAAGAGATGGTTCTCAAAACCTACCGATCAGAGCTCTTGCTTTTGAATTGAGTTTACTGTCTTACCCAGGAAACGGATGTAGTTTATCGTCTTTGCATCAATATGTGATTGATTTGACGTCAAAAGTAATTTGTCAGTGACATCCCATTTAAGTAGCTCCCACCTGTTCAATTCAAGATTTACAACTGCTGATAAGAAATATGGTTAAAAACCATTAAATGAACCAAAGCAACGAGACATAACTAATATGAAGAGCTTATCGCGACATAAAATGACATACAAATGCAGGCAAGATATTCAGTCTCAGGAAAACATTGACACTCCCTGAAACTAGTTTTAGTATTTATAAATATTCTGCGGATTTTTTTTTTTTTAATTTTTTCTGTCAGATTCTTATCAATACAAGAATGGATTACATTAAAAATTTCAAAGAGTCCCTGAAAATATTTTACGATATGAACATTCAAATCTGACTTCTGCCAAACCTACAGCCTTCATCGATAACTTGTGTTTTCATCATTTTTTTTCTCCTGCTTTGTTGCCATCTCTTTTAACACCGTTCTGGATTTCTTGATGTTCTTTTTTCGGTGTGGGGGTGGGGGTGGGGGGTCATCTTTTGATTAAGCTCTTTTATTAAAACTTTTTTTCCTTTCTTCATATTGTATTATGTTTACAGCCATATCTGGCGGCTTTTCAAGAAATCAAGCGATTCTAGATTTGTAGTTGATTATTAGCAATATTTTCATTTAGATTGACTCATGTTGCCTATATCTCTATTTCTTCTATTCTTTTTGATACACTCATTCCAAGTAATCGCGTCATGATCGGCACAACCTTCATGTTCATTTTCACACTTTTAAACTTTACTGTCAAGGTTCAGATATTTTTTCAATTATTATTATTATTATTATTATTATTATTATTATTATTATTATTATTTCTGCTATGGACACACTACCTACCAAGTCTGCGGAAAGACCTAAGGCAGGTCGTGGTGTGTTGTTATGGCCACATTTCATGTTAATTTTTTTTTTTTTTTTTTTTTATCTCCGATGAAGTTGCTAGCGTTACATAGACAAAGTTCTCCTTAGTGTGTGTGCTGTACTTAATAAGACAATTTTCTGTATGTCTCTTAAGCTGGGGTTTCAGGGATTCTTTCAATGTGTTGTTTTGTTCCATTTTTTATAATTCCAAGTGCACCTATTACCACTGGTATTATTCTTGTTTTCAATTTCCACATTATTATTATTATTATTATCATCATTATTATTATTATTATTATTATTATTATTTTCTTTGATTTCTGGCGTTTACACATTTCTTTCCGGGTACCGCCCAGGGACCTAAGGTTAGAAATGGCATCATGACACTTTCCACTGACTAATAAAAAGTTAAAAAAAAAATAAAAATATAAAAAAAAATATTACTATTATTGTTATTATTATTTCGATTTCTGCTATGGTCACACTACCTGTCAAATCTGTGGGAAGACTTTAGGCAGGTAGTCGTGTGTTGTCATGGCTACGTTTCATAATTTGTTTTTCTAACTCCCATAACATCACTAGCGATACATGGACACAGTTCTGCTTGTATTTATCGAGACAATTTTTGTATTTCTCTTAACCTGGGATGTCCATTGATTTTTTTTTCAATGTGTTGTTGTGTTCCTTTTTTATCATTCCAAGCGCACCTAATATGACTGGTATTGTTCTTGCTCTCAGTTTCCACATTTATTATTATTATTATTCTAGCCCCACTTTGGGACTGACACGAACATGAAGAATACTTTATGAATATTTAATAAAGATATTTATTTACACCTGAAGATGAACACGATGGTTAAAACAAAAACATAACTAGCTTTCCTATATACAGAGAATATGTCAGACGGAATTACCGAACTGGTGGAGTGAAATAGGGCGAGATAGCTTGTACCTTTAAAACCCTCGACAACTGGTACTGCTGGCGACGGAGAGAATTTCTTCTGTGTTTCTTTAGAGCAGGTCCGGTCTCTTCTCTCTGGTGGTCAGCTTTTTCTGAACTCACGTGATTTTATTAACCAATGAGAGACCGCTTAACATTATGTGACCAAACTCTATATATAGGAGCAGACGATTTTTACAAACCCAATATTATTATTATTATTGTTGTTGCTGTTGTTGCTTTTGTTTTTGCTGTTAGCTTATTGTGGATTAATGTACTTTCAATTTGACCGATATTTAATTCAAATATTATTCTATGGCCACATCTCAGTTCTTTTTATATACATGTATTTCTACATGTATTATTATTATTATTATTATTATTAATACTGTAGTTGTTATGGGCGCCTCAAGGTCGTGCAATGGTTAGCAAACTTGTCTCGCTAAAACAGTTACAACTGGAGAGTGAGTTCGATCATTACTGGGTGCCCCATACTTTCGGCCTTGTGCCACATCCAAGCTACGCTTAGAAAATCAGTATTGTAGTTGTTGTTGTGTTTTGTTTTAGGTTTGCGGGGTACCCAAGTTTGGTTTTGTATTAGAAGACGCAAACAGATGAGATGTCATGTAATCAGAGTGAAAGAATATAAAATTCTCACCCCTGCATGAAGAGAAATCAACGCACGATATGAGAAATACCCATATGCATAACCCTTTTATTACTACCAGAATTATTATTATTATTATTATTATTATTATTATTATTATAGATTAATTATCCTTTATCCGAAATTCCAAAATCTGAAAACTTCCAAAATCCGAAAGTTTTTCAGGTGCTGATAAAACGACTTCCATCAAATGGAAAACTTTAGAAAGCCCAGCTACGTAGCCTATGTTGGCGCCAGTTTTTTATATAACGATCGTCGCATCAAAGACTTCATTCGTGGATTACTTAACAGGTATTTTGTGCACATTAAAGATATTATTCAAAATGTCAAAATGTCCTGCATTTATATATTTTTTGCAAGTAGTGATCTGTTATAGTGGAACACATCTATTCTCTAGTTAATAGACTCCCCCACCTATAATAAGTAGGAGTAGTAAGAGGAGGAAGTCGCTCAGTGGGTCAGTCAGTCGATGCCGGACGACCGTTAGTCGGATACTAAAGTATCAGCGACCACCACTAGATATCTCTGCGTCATACCTATTATATGAAGTTCCTAACGTTTTGTACGTCGAACCTATTTTAGGACTGACTTAGTACAAATACAAGCCTCCACTGTGAAACCACTCCATAACATGATCATGATTTTGTACACGTACAGAAAGTAAAAAAATATTTTTACATGAAAGCTAAATTTCACCACATAAAAATCCATTACACGTTCCACAGGTGATAAGTATGAGAAAAGAATCCACTGGAATAAAACTTACGGTTATATGTAGATGATTTGAAAAAAATCGCATTCATTAATATTTCTCAGACCTTGTATAGATATCTCTTCATGCAGTGATCACAATTACATTTTTCTCCCTGATTGTATGGTGCCTCATCTATTTGCCCGTCCTGAGTATGATGATAAACTGCATCCGCGTCTTGGGAAAGACGATAAACTATGTCCAGCAGCAAGGCCTCTGATCAGGAGGTTTTGAGGAGCGTGGAACCAACTCTTAATTTCTGGTGTTCCCAGGTCCACCCTGACCCGGGGTGGTAGCGGCTGTTAGGGTCCCAATTATGGGCAAATAGTTAACCCCGAAATTGAGGTAAAAAGCATTATAAAATTGTAAAAATAGGTTTTAATACTAGAAATACTTTGTAAAAAATTATTACCAGAAATAGATTTTTGAAGAAAAAAAACTGTTGCCAGCAATATACTTTTGAAAAAAATTGTTACCAGCAATACATGTTTTAAAATAATATTACCAGCTATACATTTTTGAGGAAAAAAATATTACCAGAAATAGATTTTTTACTAAAGAAAATATTACCAGAAAAAAAAATGTTGTCGGCATTAAATAACCCATTGAGGTTGATATGCCGTAAAACAAAATAAACCAAACCAAACCAATCT